TAATCTTATTCAGCATGTCGCTTATTTTTGGTGTCTTGAACTGAAAAGATGCATTAAAAAACCCTCAGCAAGTTGGAACAGAAACTGCATGTGCATGAACCTAAATAAAGTGTTTCACTAGTAATCCAATCTATAATTGGAGAAGGTTCTTGTCTCATGCTGTGTAAACTCTAGATTTCTGTGGCAGGAGAAAACACATGCCCTGCAGTATTAGTTGTGGGATTTCAGGTTCTTCTACTTAAAGATTTTGTAAGGTCTATAATTAGTTGCTGGTGAATTACATTGTTGTAATGTTTATTTCTGGTAATCTTCAGCAGAAAACCAAGTGGATCAATATTGAAGCTTCCTGCATTTTATTAAAGGATACATTTGCTGAAATGCATGGATCTAATCCACATACACATTTTATGTTGATCTACTTTGGCCATGCACAGCAAGTCTTCAAAAGAATTTTGTCAAGTAGAAAGAGATTTAGCGGTATTTTCTCCGGTAAAAACCATACTACACTAGTGTAGCTTAGTATCAGATTCACCCCAGCAGTAATAAATCTTGAACTGAACAAATGAAAGCTGTGTGCGCCTTCTTTTTCTGGGTCTAAAGCAGCTTCTGATCTTCTGAATGTTGGGAGACTTGAATTGGAGCATTCATTTTAAAAGGTGATGATACTAAAATTGAACTGGAAGTTCACATCGTGTGTGGTCTGCATGACCTTTTCAGTTGTGGTTGTTTGTGTGCATATTCTTAACTTCTAGAAGCACTGCTGACTCCATCTCAAAACATTACGGATGGGTAGTCAACCATAGAAGCTCAATTTTGAGGTCAATGCTTTGGGCTTCACAAATAATCTTTTATTTTGTAATATCAACATCAGATCTAAAAGCAAACTATTTGCACCGTACCTTTACAGTTGTTGCCACATCTAGTATCTTAGACTAATCTCCTGTCCTGCATTTTGTCTCACATTTAAAAAAAAAAAAATTGAAGCCTAAAACATTGTTTCTTGGTGTTTTAGCCATTTTATAGGTATTTCAAAGAAAGGCAGAGTGCGAGACTTCAGACTGAAATTTTAAAACTGCAAGAACTTGAGAAGAAATGTTTATTCAAGTTCTTTTCCTTCCCCAGTTGGAGAATCAGAATGCCTTTTCTTTACAAAATGTTGGAACCATAAAATTTAAGAAAAGCTTGTATTCTTCATAGACTGAGCAAACCTAGATAGTGGTGCATATTGCATTTCACTTTATGCTTTTTTTAAACCATCTACATACTTGATGTGAGCATGGTTATTTTAGTAGTTAGATTATCTATAGTCAATGTGGTCTCAAGGGATAGAGTGTAAGTATTTTAGACTTGCTGATTTATGGATTCATTTCATGGTTATTTTTTTGGGGTCCCCTGCAACTTCCTGTTCTGCTTTTGATTTGCTGATTTGGTCAACTCCCTTTTCTTCTGTACATAATCCACTCCCCCTACCCTTTTATCTACCTCCCTCTCAAATCGTGCTATCCGTAACATTTGGATATTAGATTGTGGGATTTATGAAAAATGGAATGGAGAAGCACTGGTGCTGTTTCTGCCAATGGACAGTGTGCCTTTTTCTGCTTGATCCTCATGGAGAAGAGTACAAACTTGGCTCTCTGTCTCATATTTGGTGCACGTCTTGACAGAGTATTAACATCTGCACTGAAAATATGCTCTTAGTTGGCTAATAGATGGGTCACTCTTAGTTCTATAACCCTTGCGCGCGCACACACAGGTGCACATACAGACACGACACGCATCGTGTTTCAGTTTCTTTTGATAGCTTTGACCAAACCAGCAGTTTCCGTGGTTTGTGGAACCACCTGAGTTTTAAAGTGAAAAGTGTGAATAGTGAGACAAAATTCCTCAAAAATAAGATTTGTCCTGATTTCAATCACGCTTGGTGAAAACTTCAAGTTGAAGGCCATTCAGCTGTAGTTCCTCTACTGCAGTGAGATTAGCTTCTTCTATGACTCAGTGCTGCTGTTGTGGTACTGGCATTTCAACTAGAAAAGCTAGAACCCATTAAAAGTGCTCTTTCACCATTAAAAAAAAATCAGAAGTTTTTTACTGTGCTCATTAACCCCCTCGCCCCCTTTTTTTACTATGCTTTATAGTTGAAGGAAACTCAGTTTGAGATTGTCCAAACAACAGCCAGCATCCTTGAGGATAACTTCAAATAGTGTCGACATCCGAAAGAATTGTCACCGTGCATACAATTTTTGCTGTTATTGTGCAATACTGAGGCTGTTAGGCATATCCTGGTCAGAACCTCAATTTGTCTTGCCTTTGGTTTTTATTTAGTGACCGGGTCTAACCGTTTCCAAAAGGCACACAGTGGAAAGATTTTTCTGGTGGTGTTTCTAAAGGCACTGAAGTTTGAAGGGAAGAGAGATTTTTTGTTTCTTGTTTTTTTCCCTCTCTTCTGCACAATGGAGCTTTCAGAGAACCTCTTTTAAAAGGAATAGCTACAGCCTTTGTGTTGAAGGGTGTGTCTCTTGGCAGGATTTGCTGAGGCAGACAGGCTGGCTGGTGATTAACAAAGGTCATTAGACTTTGGAATCTGGCAAGCAGAGTCAGATGGTCTGTCTGTCTTCTGTGCAGAGAAGGACAACTCCCAGGAGGCTGAGGCTTTCTGGAGGATCCTGCCCCCCATCTCCCCCTGCTTCCACTTAAGAGCTTACACTGTGTGGCTTCAGCCTGTAGGACAGTTTGGACAAGTGTCTTGGTTCCCTAATTCTGTGTTGCTGGAACTAATCAACACATTTATCATTCATGGATAAAAGGACCTTCAGAGATCTTTGCAAATGATCTGTTTGGAGGAGGGGGGTGCTGGTGTGACAGCACATGAGAACAGCCACTCCTTTGTTGGAAAAGGTAAATCACACAAAAGGGGAGAGTATTGCTTTCAGAATGCTGATTTTTTTTCTAGCCTCAACCCAGCAAAAAAAAAAAAATCTTGTGTGCTTCAGATGAAGCTGAGATAAGTGAGGCCATGTTGTGAGCAGGCTAGAAGCTCTGAGCCTCTGAGTGCATGAGTTGTCTGAGCTAAAATGGCTGCTCCTAAAGCTCAGAGGACTAGGGCAGCTTAGTGAGTCTTAAAGCTTCAGTGACGCAGGAGCTCATATCTCTTGAAAGTGTGATAAACACATTCAGCAGAGCTGTGGCTTGTTTGGCTGAGATGAAAGGACTAAGCTTGGGGGATGGGTAGTGAAAACTGGATGATCTGCTTTTTGTGAAGTGCTCTAAATGCAGGAGTCGTCTGCTCCATGGAAAAATTTGTTTTCAGGTCTAATGGACTGTGCTAAAGGAGACGTGGGGTGGGGCTTCACTCACTGCTGTAATTTGATCCAGAGCAGATAGCAACCTCTTCCACACAATTTGGCCTGGTGCTTGCACATAAAAGCTTGAGTATCTCGATTATTGTAACTTTGTTAGCTGCAAAGAAGCTGGTGCAGTGTTCGGTTTCTTTCTTTGGGCAGGAGAGGGGGGGAAGGAGAGAGAAAGGACAAATTGCAGCAGTGCAAAGTAGACTAGGTAAATATCTGAAGTGTCTGTGTGCTCAGCCTGGCCAGAATTTGCCTTGCCAGAAGTTTATTTTAGCAGGCTATCAGAAGGAACATTCTTTTCTGCAGAACCCTGATGCCACACACCCTTGTGTTTCGTTGACACAATATTATTGGACTTGGATCTTGCTGTAGGAGGACTTTTATATTCCACAAATAAAGGAAATTTGTAAAGTATTTTTGGCTGCCATTCCCTTTCTCAGACTTCTGCAACTCCTAGATTAGCTTGGCCTAGAGAAGGAAGTGGGAAATGTTATAGTAATTGGTCTAGTTATAGTAATTGGTCTATAATGTTATAGTAATTGGTCTAGTAATTGGTTCATTAAGATAGTAAGTTGCTACTGTACCCAAGAAACATGTGGAATAGGTGGGCCTGGCCTCTACCTTTTTATTTTTTCTGAGATCCTGTTCCTTGTTCTACACCAGTGCCCAAAAACTTTGAGCCCAGTGATAAATTCCTCCCCAGAATTATGTGATGCTGCATTAACTAATCATGCATCGAACAATAATGTGTCATGTTACCAAGCTCGGCTTACTACTTGGTATATCAAACTAGGTAGGTTCATGAAAGTAACAAGGAAGTCAAAGTTTTAGGGAGGGGCCTTTTTAATCCTTGAATACTGTTGCAATGTTTCTATCAAAAGCAGCAGAAAATGGCCCATTTCTGGGGTTTTTTTTTTTTGGTTTTTTTTTTGGTCTCCTCTATCCCTATTCCATGAAAGACATGTTCCTTTAAGGAGGCTATAAACCATGGGTATAGTCATAGGACTTCTAACCAATAATGGACACAATCTTGGAGCTTTCTGGAATTGTTAAGTAAATGTCCAAAAATCTATGTATCCAGACATCACCTTGCCACAATGTCTATTTTCCCCACTGCAGTCAGTGTTGACAGAAGGTTTAAAATAAATGCAAAGGTTTTTGGAGGTTTTCCGTTTCAGGTGGTAAGGCAATCACTAACCTTCAGAAAGGTTAGTGCTGGATGAAGAGAGGCAGAAATACCATTTTTTTTCCTGCTTGCAAATTTCAGTGCATTCACAGCTGGAAATTCCAGCATATGCTTCCCTGAGTCTTTGTGTGAGACAGGCTGCCAGAGGAACAACAAACCCATGTGAGAAGAACCTGAGTAAGGAAAAAGCCAAGAGGTCAAGGTCCACTGAATCAATATCCATTTGTCAGAAGGGTTGAATGTTTGTAGAGTTGAGATCAGCAACTTGTGAGCTATTTAGGTAGGACTTTCTGTGAATTTGAATGCCTTGATGTGTCTCAAAGTATTGAGCAAAGTTTGAGTTGTCAGTTGCAGTAGCTATAGCATTTTTGGAGCCTGCTGAACCATGTGGGAACAGGCTTGGTTTTATATATAGTCAGTTCATTGAAGAGTCTCTCTAAAATAGGGTTTTCCCTCTTTTCTTTCAGAATTCTCTAATGTGAAAGATCATCCCAGAACCATGGAGGTGCTGCAGTGTGACGGCTGCGATTTTCGAGCTCCCTCCTATGAAGACCTGAAAGCCCACATTCAGGATGTTCACACTGCTTTTTTGCAGCCCACGGATGTTTCTGAGGAAAGCCCTAGCCAGCCAAGGTCTGGCTCCATGAATGCTAGCAACCAGACTGAGGTTGAATTTTCTTCTGTAAAGGATGAATTTGCAATTGCAGATGAAATAGCAGGTAAACATCAACCTAAACCTCTTCTCCATGCTGGTTTCTGCATATTTTAATGTACAATTTTAATGCGATTTAAAAAAAAAAAAATCCATCATCTTTATTGCCATGATGGTGAAGTGAATTTTGCCTAGCTACTGGTTCTGCTTGCCACTTTTTATGTGATCACTAAAATGGGGGGTAGATTTATCTCCCTGCTCTTCTTCATTCAAGTGTTTCTATAATTTTTTGTTTTAATGTTGAATTTGAAGAGGTTTTCCTTTTTAAAACAATGCATTTTTGGTCAAAGAAACTTAATTTGGAAGTAACATTTTTCCAGGTGATATATATTGCTTGCCTGTGACCTATATTAGGTGCACAAGCGTGTCATAAATAAGAATGTCCAGGGTAGTATTGCATGCTCTGCAATTCTGATATTCCCAATGCCTTTCATGGATGTGGCTGTTCTTGAGTATTATGATGTCAATGTGATGTGTGAAGAAAACAATTGTGCGTGTTTTTTATTTTTGTTTTTTTCCCCCCACCTCTCCCCTAGGGCAAAATGCAGCAGCTCAAATGGGGACTGGAAGTTATTATAGCCATAGCCAGAGTTTTTATGGTCAGCACATGGCCCCAAATCCTAAACCAACAAATAAATTTTTCCAGTGCAAATTCTGTGTGCGATACTTCAGATCCAAAAACCTGCTCATAGAGCATACCCGAAAGGTCCATGGAGCACAAGCTGGAGGGAGCTCGGTGGGGCTGCCTGCTGCCGGATCATTAAATTACAACATCATGATGCACGAGGGGTTTGGCAAAGTTTTCTCTTGCCAGTTCTGCACTTACAAATCGCCAAGACGAGCAAGGATTATTAAACACCAGAAAATGTATCACAAAAACAACCTGAAGGAGAGCTCAACTCCTCCTGCTGCTGCAGCTGCTATATCTGAATCTGGGTCTGCCTCTATGCCAGTGCAGGAGCCCTGCAAGGAGTTGCCTGCTGAGGTGGTAGAGCGTAGCATTTTGGAGTCCATGGTCAAGCCCTTGACAAAATCCAGGGGCAACTTCTGCTGCGAATGGTGTAGCTATCAGACACCTCGAAGGGAGCGCTGGTGTGACCACATGATGAAGAAACATCGGAGCATGGTGAAAATATTGTCGAGCCTGCGTCAGCAGCAGGATGGTACTAGTCTGCCTGATATGCAGAATAAGAATGCACAGAACCCCTCCCCAAACTCCAATTACATCTCTATGAATGCTGTAGGACGTGAGATGTCAAATGCTAATGTTTCAAACTTCAGAAGCTCTATGAGCAATTCCCTTATCAGATCCAATTCTTCTACATCCTCCAAGTTCCCTTCTGTGTCTTATCCTCAAATGAAGCCTAAGTCACCTCATAACTCTGGCATGGTTAATTTGTCCGACAGATCCCGCTATGGCATTGCTGACATGACAAATTCTTCTGCTGACCTGGAAACGAACAGTATGCTAAATGACTCTAGCTCGGATGAAGACCTAAATGAAATGGACAGTGAAAATGGCTTGAATGCCTTGGATCACCAGACCTCAGGAATGTCTGCAGAGCAACTGATGGGATCTGATGGCAACAAATTATTAGAAACCAAGGGGATTCCCTTTAGAAGATACATGAACAGGTTCCAGTGTCCTTTTTGCCCTTTCCTCACCATGCACCGCCGAAGTATTTCCCGCCATATTGAAAACATCCACCTGTCTGGGAAAACTGCTGTATACAAATGCGATGAATGTCCTTTCACTTGTAAAAGTTCATTAAAACTTGGAGCTCATAAACAGTGTCACACAGGTACAACGTCAGACTGGGATGCTGTGAATTCTCAAAGTGAAAGCATAGCTTCCTCTCTGAATGAGAGCACTGTGTCTTATGACAGTGGAAATATAAATGGCAGGAAGTCAGGAGGCATAATGGAACCTGTGCAGCAACAGCAGCAGCAACAGCAGCAGCAGCAACAGCAGTCACCACAACCCCATTCACAGCACCCCTACAAATGTACAATGTGCAACTATTCCACAACTACTTTGAAAGGCCTCAGAGTTCATCAGCAACACAAGCATTCATTTTGTGACAACCTGCCAAAATATGATGGACCGTCATCCAACGCACCACAAGAGAGTGAGGGGGATGCTCACACCTCTTCCAGCACTGTGAAGAAAAGCCAGACCTCCATTCTGGGTTTGTCATCTAAAAATAACTTTGTGGCTAAGGCCCCTCGAAAGGTGTCAAATGACTTTCCCTTGGATCTATCACCAGTGAAAAAGAGAACTAGAATTGATGAAATAGCAAGCAACTTGCAGAGCAAAATCAACCAAAACAAACAGCAAGAAGATGCTGTGATTAATGTAGAGGATGATGAAGAGGAGGAAGAAGACAATGAAGTGGAGATAGAGGTAGAATTGGATAGGGAAGAAGAACAAGCAGAGCCAATGATGGAGGTATCCAATTCATATGCACCCCAGCAAATGTGGGGAAGAGATGCCAATGATTCTCAGAAGGAGGCTAACTTCAGAAACATGCAGCATGATTATAATTCCACCAATGGGGCAGAAATTGAGCTCACATTATCAGAGGATGAGGAAGATTATTATTCTTCTGTCAGCTTGAAAGATCAGCAGGGCCCTAATGCTTCTGTTCTGGGTAGCCAGTCAAGTCTCTATGGATCTGAACAAAACAATGAAAATGCAGAGTTTAATGACTCTGGGAGGCTTTATTATTGCAAACACTGTGATTTCAGTAACAAATCTGCCAGGAGTGTTAGCACCCACTACCAGCGGATGCACCCATACATTAAATTCAGCTTTAGATATATTTTGGATCCTAATGATCACAGTGCAGTGTACAGATGCCTTGAATGTTACATTGACTATACAAACTTTGAAGACCTACAGCAGCATTATGGTGAGCATCACCCTGAAGCTATGAATGTACTCAACTTCGATCATTCTGACCTGATCTATCGCTGTCGCTTCTGCTCTTACACTAGCCCGAATGTGCGAAGCCTGATGCCCCATTACCAAAGAATGCACCCAACAGTTAAAATTAATAATGCAATGATCTTCTCAAGTTATGTAGTTGAGCAGCAAGAGGGGGTAAATACAGAATCACAAACACTGAGAGAGATCTTGAATTCTGCTCCCAAAACCATGGCAACATCAACCCCTGTGGCCCGTGCAGCTAGTGTGCCTAGTACTTTTAACAAAAATGCTACCAAAAGTTTTAGTCCAGAAAGTGAAAATCAGAAGGAGCCTTCAGTAAATACTGTTGTAGTTTATGACTGTGATGTGTGTTCATTTGCAAGCCCTAACATGCATTCAGTTCTGGTTCATTACCAGAAAAAACACCCTGAAGAAAAGGCATCGTACTTCAGGATTCAGAAGACCATGCGCATGGTGTCCGTTGACCGGGGCTCTGCCCTGGCTCAAATGTCATTTGAGATGGGAACCTCTGTGTCTCCAAAACTGTCCAGCCTGGCTTCTCAACCTCCACCTCCCCCACCACCACCACCAGACCTTGCCACTGAACTCTACTACTGCAAACACTGTTCGTACAGCAACCGATCGGTTGTGGGAGTGCTTGTCCACTACCAGAAAAGGCATCCAGAAATAAAGGTCACTGCAAAATATATTAGGCAGGCACCCCCTACTGCAGCAATGATGAGGGCTGGTGAGATGCCACCTGGTATTCAGAGACCACCAATGTCTATGCAACAGCTGAATAGGGGCAGCTCTGAGAGTGCTGTGACTCCCCCCGAGAATGAAATGTTCTTTTGCCAGCACTGTGATTATGGAAACCGGACCGTTAAGGGCGTGCTCATTCATTATCAAAAGAAGCATCGTGACTTCAAAGCTAATGCAGATGTGATTAGACAGCACACAGCCACTATTAGAAGCCTCTGTGACCGTGGCCAGAAAAAATTGGCCAGCAGCCTCCCTGCTCCCACCTCCAGTACTGACCGGGACAAGGCTAAGCTACGAGCTCTCAAATGCAGGCAGTGCTCCTATACATCCCCTTATTTTTATGCCTTGAGAAAGCATATAAAAAAAGACCATCCAACCCTGAAGGCCACTGTCACATCCATTTTGCGATGGGCATTTCTGGATGGCTTAATAGAAGCTGGTTATCACTGTGAATGGTGTATTTATTCGCATACTGAGCCCAGTGGTTTGCTTGTGCATTACCAAAGGAGACATCCTGAGCATTATGTTGACTACACATACATGGCAACTAAACTCTGGGCAGGTCCAGATCCTTCCCCTCCAGCTCTAGTGCTGCCATCAGAGACAAAAACGTATAAATGCCGTGACTGTGTTTTTGAAGCATCTTCCATTTGGGATATTACTAATCACTACCAGGCTTTTCATCCTTGGGCCATGAATGGTGATGAATCTGTGCTGTTGGATATCATAAAGGAGAAAGATGCTGCTGAGAAAGCTGGCATGCAGCCTGATGAACTTGGGGCTAGGATTAATTCTGAAGACCAGATAACAGCATCACAGATGGAGCAGGATGCAGAGTGCACTGAGGACTCGGGTCTTTCCCAGGAAAAAACAGTCCAGCTGGCCTCTGCAAACCCTGCAATCTCCTCCACGCCGTATCAGTGCACAGTATGCCAATCTGAATATAATAACCTACATGGACTTTTGACACATTATGGCAAAAAGCATCCTGGAATGAAAGTGAAAGCTGCAGATTTTGCACAGGACATAGATATTAACCCAGGGGCTGTGTACAAGTGCAGGCATTGTCCATATATTAACACGCGCATTCACGGTGTCCTTACACACTACCAGAAACGGCATCCGTCAATAAAGGTCACCGCTGAAGATTTTGTACACGATGTAGAGCAGTCTAATGACATAGCTCAGAATGATGTGGAGGAAACGAGTAGGATTTTCAAGCAAGGTTATGGCGCTTACAGGTGCAAATTATGCCCTTATACCCACGGCACTTTGGAGAAACTTAAAATTCACTATGAAAAGTACCACAATCAACCCGAATTTGATGTGTTTGCGCAGTCACCACCAAAGGTGTCTGCCTCTGTGGAGCCAGAGATTGCTCCTGAAATCAAGGCTTCTCCAGAAATTGCTCCTGAGGACATTGGAGAGATCACAGTGCCAGCTCCTCATTTTTCCAGTTCTCATTTAGTGTCTCATACAGTGTTCCGATGCCAGCTTTGCAAGTATTTCTGCTCCACCAGGAAAGGGATAGCTAGACACTACCGCATCAAACACAACAATGTCCGGGCACAGCCAGAAGGCAAAAACAATCTCTTCAAATGTGCTTTGTGTTCCTACACCAATCCCATCCGCAAAGGGCTTGCAGCACACTACCAGAAACGGCATGACATTGATGCTTACTATACCCATTGCTTAGCAGCCTCCAGGACAATTAGTGACAAGCCCAACAAAGTAATTATTCCATCTCCTCCCAAAGATGATGCTCCTCAATTAAGTGAGGAGCTGAGGAGGGCTGTGGAGAAGAAGAAGTGCTCACTTTGCTCCTTCCAATCTTTTAGCAAAAAAGGTATCGTCTCCCACTACATGAAGCGTCACCCTGGTGTTTTCCCTAAAAAGCAGCATGCAAGCAAGCTGGGGGGTTACTTCACTGCTGTGTATGCTGATGAGCATGAAAAGCCAGCCCCGCTAGAGGAGAGAAATGACTTTGAAAAGCCTGAGGTGGAGAACGAGGCTCAGGAAATAGAGTGGCTTCCCTTCAGATGCATTAAATGTTTCAAACTGTCTTTTAGCACAGCAGAGCTGCTGTGCATGCATTACACTGACCACCACAGCAAGGACCTGAAGAGAGACTTTACCATCCTGGGAAGTGGTACCCGCTCTCAGAATTCTCTCTACCAGTGCAAGCACTGTGACAGTAAATTGCATAGCATGGCAGATCTGACCTCACACTTGAATAGTCACAATGAGGAATTCCAGAAGCGTGCCAAACGTCAGGAAAGGAGGAAACAGCTTTTGAGCAAGCAGAAATATGCAGATGGTGCTTTTGCAGATTTCAAACAAGAGAGGGTAAGGAAATGTGTGTTCATTTTTTTTTCCTCCCCCCTCCCCTACTCCCCCAACCCTTCCCAGGCCCCCACTGTTCTCATTAGGCTGTGTATAACTAGTGCTCACATGCGTGGTCTTTGGCAGCCAAAAAACAGACTAACTAGTGACTTCTGCCAATGAGCTCTGTAAGTCAATTTAAATATTCTAGTTTGATACTATCATCCTCTCTTTTCATTTTCTACCTCTTCCTAGAGTTCCCTAGAGGGTTGCCAACATCTTGTCCTCACCCTCAACAATAATGTAGCTTTTTCTTAAAAAGTTACTGTGCACTTATTTTTTTTCAGTAAATGTGTCGTCTGCCCCACGGTTCCCACCTCCAGGGGTCATTCTTTTGAAATAACACTCAAATCTTTTTTTCTTCAGGAAGGCATGTGATTGATTGATTGACACTTCTGTGGTAATAACATATCTGGTCATGGGTCTGATTCAAAGTTCATTGGTATCAGTAGGTGTCTTCCTTGGACTTCAGACTTTGGATCAGTCTCCATGTGGAATACAGAAGAAATTCTGTTGTGTACCACTGTTGTCAATCTGGAATAACTCTGCTTTTGAAAGAGTTATCGACAGCTTACCCTGGTGTCACCTAAGGGCAAAATTTGGCCTGTCAGGTTTGAAAAAAATATGAGTTATGGTCTGTTACCATCCAAATACACAGGGTTCCTGAGCATAAAAACAAGGCAAGAAAATATTTTTTTACCAATATATTTTACAGGCATTAGTGGAGGCCAAGTGAAAACTTGGGTTGAAATTTTGGAAAGCGGCCTTTGGGACTTAAGATCACATCTATTTAAATTTTAATGGAGATGTGTTTAAGTCTCTAAGGCTGCTTTGCAAGATCAGTCCTTTGCCCTTTAAAGTGCCCAGATAGTAGATTTTTTTTTCTTTCCTAATTTCATTTTGAGATTTGTGCTTGTCTGGATCTATTCATGATAACTTTAAAATGTGGAAGCACATTTCGGTGCATAAATTGATTTTATACTTGTGTTCCAACAGACTTTTGGTCACTTGGAAGATATGTCAAAACTTAAGGAGAGGAAAGTTGTTGGATATAAATGTAAATTTTGTGTGGAGGTTCATCCGACCCTTCGAGCCATCTGTAATCATCTTCGCAAGCATGTTCAGTACGGGAATGTCTCTTCAGTGTCAGCTACAGTAAAGGTAGGCATTCTGAGATCTGTCTGCTACGTTGTTGTTTGAGGCTATAAGTCCTGGTCCAAAGACCAATGAAGTCTGTGGCAAGCCCTCATTGAACTCAAAGGGTTTTGGAACAGGTAAGGTTAAGCACATGATTTATCTCTAATGCTTCAGCTTTCTGTGGTATGTCTGGCTTATTTTAAGATACTAGTTTTAACTTTCTTCCATTCTTGATTCAAGGGCATGAAGACTATTTTCCAGAACATGTCTGATTTCTCTACCACAAATGAGTTTATTTTCCTGATAACAGAATGCCTAGGTCTCTGAGCAAGACCCTATAGTCCAACTATTATAGGCTACTTTCTAACACACTTAAATCAAAATTTTTAGAGGAGGAAGCCAGAAGCACATAGGTACTAATGTGCATGAAAATGTGTATTTTGCTTATTTTTTCACAGAGTTACCACTGCAGTCTACTAGGGTTTGCATCTGCAAATCCCCATTCAAATGACTAATTAGTCACTTGCTTAGCTGGGTTCAAGTGGCTCATTGTAAATGCACTTTTTTTCTGTGGGCATTGGGATTTCCACTTCTAGAGAATCTGGTCTCCAAGAAGGAACTCTGTCCCTCACTCCCCAAGCTGGTTCTTCAGGATATCAAGAGCGGGGTGTATACACAGTAATGGAGCAGGAGCTGGCAATGCATTGCTGCTGCTGCTGCTGCTGCTGCTGCTGCTGCTGCTGCTGCTGCTGCAGTGAGCACTTGGATTATGTGGAGGAAAAAAGATGCCACCACTGTGCTCAGAACTTTATTTATACCGTATCTCTGTTCCATAATGCTGACTAACCTGCCATGAGGAAATTGAATCCAGCTGGGTCTGAACAGCTCCACATGAGAGGGCTTAGACTGTTCTGCTGTCCTCCCCTTCACATATGTGATGCTACATAAGTGATCAAGTAATTTTTCTCCTATCAAACTATGGCTGTTTTTACAAGTGGGAAAACTGCCACCTTTTCTCTTTTTTGTTTTTGGACAAATAGAAATTAAGCTGAGGATACTACGTTGATTTTAAGTTCCTGATTGCTTTATTATACTTGCCATAATGAATAACACTAAGGAAAAGGAATAAAAACTAACAGGTTTTTTTCAAAGAGGGTTATCATTTCCTGAGAGGGCCTGCTTCTCTTTTGTGACATTAGTGTTAGTGAAAAGTGTCCACTTGTGAGTTTTGGGAAACATAGGTGTATATTAGCCTACAGAGCAGTTATGATAGTAGGTGATAGCAATGATAGCTTGCTCCATATCATGGCGCTAACATTTCTGTTAACCTGTTCTGGAGGATCTGTGTCCAGAGGTTAGTAGGTAGGCAGTTCAGTTTCTATTTTAGTTGTTTGGCCTTGGTTCTGACATTGTTCAGTCTGAACACTGCCTGCTGTGAGATGTGGTCTCTTTTAGAGTGCTGCTGCTTCTTGTGGATTGCCACTAGTGTTGTGCAACTTGTGTAGAGAGATCATTAGAACTGTGAACATAGTGGGTGTGTCTACACGAGATGCCCACTGCGCAGTTGTTACTAAATGACAGTACTAACGGGTGTTACTGCACAGTAGTGTCCTGGCATGGTTGCCTAGTGACATTTACTGTGCAGTAGCTCGGTACTGCTGTGCAGTAGCATTGTGTCATAGTTTGTGCCCTGTGACGCTACTGCAGAGTAATAACGAGCTACTTTGCAGTAAGCGTCTTGTGTAGACATGGCCAGTGGGACTCCTGGGTGAGGTCTTATCTGGCTTCCTTCCTAACATGCTCTGCCTCCAACATCTGCCACTGACATGATAAGCACTGCCCACTCACTCCCACTGAGGCATACCTGGACACTGACAATTAGGTAGAGAAGAGGGCTCAGGACCAGCCCTAAATGGGACAGCATAGATCTGAGTACTGCTTCCCTTCAGTGCTGCTTGTGGAACAGAACCTGAGCCTAGGTGTGGGGTGCTCAATCAAAGTCACTTCAAACCATGTGCAACAATGCCTAAGAGCCAGTCTCCAAGTTTGTGTGGCAGTGAGTAGGTTGGGTTCATTTTGTCAACTCTGGACTTACAGTCCGGAGGTTGGCCATGTAGACACGTCCTTTGAGATGTTGTTGAAGGGAATCTTAGATCTTAAAATTAAGACATGGAGAAGACTGAGGGCAGAAGGGAGAGAGAATTGATGGCTTTGGGGGGGTATGTGTTTTTTAGCAGGAAGCTGAAGATTCTTCAAACACAACTTTGGAGGGTTTTGAGGGCGTCAAAGACCCTGGCATTATGGAATTTACAGAAGCTGAATCTGGAGCATCCTTGGAAGATGAAACCAGGCCTGGGGGCTACCACTGCAGCCAGTGTGACCGGGTTTTGATGTCTATGCAGGGTCTGCGATCTCACGAGAGGAGTCACTTGGCTCTGGCCATGTTTACCCGGGAAGACAAGTACAGCTGCCAGTATTGCTCCTTTGTCTCTGCTTTCAGGCACAAGTAAGTTTGTTTGTTTGGTTGGTTGGTTGGTTGGTTGGTTGGTTTGGTTGGTTGGTTGGTTGGTTGGTTGGTTGGTTTGTTTGTTTGTTAATAAAAGCACAGACTATAGGTGCTGCTTTTGCATGTACCAACAAATGAAGAATGTCATATTCAAAAGCTTGTCTATCACAGCTATGTAGTTGGTCCAATAAAAGATACCAGATTAAGAAATCCTTGCTTCTGACATTAGCTTGGAATCTAGGCAAATTTACTTTTAATTATGTTTTTTGCTTTCTTGGTTTTTATGTATTTCCATGCCCTGTAGCCTGGTACTATTGTCCATGATTATTTTTAGAAACTATCCCGGATTCCTTTCTTTTTTTATTACACCTGCTTTTGTTGGCTGTGGGGAAAATTCACACAAACAAAAGGTGAAAATTTCCTACATGGAGAGAATGATAAAACTAATCAACTACAGAGCACTGTCAAATGAATGAAATAAGCTGGAAGGAGAAGGGGAAAAGATTTTGTTCTGTAATCTTTTGTGCATAATGAATTTGAGTGTTGGACGTAACAAATTTAAGTTGATTTAGAGAGATTTAGTCTCTAATGCCAAGCAGGTCTCAAAAGCTAATCTTTTTTTTTAATCTTTTTGAACAACTTCCTGAACATATTTAACTGTCTGATGCAACAAAGTAAAAGTGTTACAGATAGTTGTTATAAATAAACAGAGTCCCTGAGAATTTGTCCAAGTGGGTATTTAAGACTACAGAGGTAAGGTGTTGGGTTTTTTTTAAATTAACTTTTTACCACAACTGCCAAAAATGAATGGATTTGTGGTACATGGTTTCCTTAAAGACAAGACATCAGCATATCCACATTTCCTTCTTTGCTTGGCAGAGAACCACCTCCCTACCTGCTCACCACCTTTAAAAGAGAAAGGGAGACCTATGCTGTGTCCTGCCTTCAGTGGGACCAATCAGGTTTAAGTTTTGACTGCTCTGTGTTGAAATCCCGTGTACAGGGAGAGAGGCTGGATATGAATGCATTCAAATAATGCATGCCAGAAGGGCAAAGCTTCCACTGGCATGACGAGTGCATCCATGCAGGCTATAGGCATAATATGGTGGTAGGCTCTGAGAGCTGCAAGAATTTGAGCAGCCGTCAATAAGGGTGGTTTGGAGGAGAGGAAGTGACTGGTTAGTTTCAGGGACTTTCCCACCTTTGACTGGTGGGACCATGTGGACAATGTAAGGCTCTACCACCTTTAGAGTGTAGCAAGAACTTCTGCCCCCGCGCAAAAATATTTTGCCCCCAAAACCACTCTGGCTATAAGGTTGTCTTGCACTCTCTTTCTTTTCAGTTGTTACATTGGTTCCATGGGTATAAACGATGGTGGAACCAATAGTGTGGATGAAGGGAGAGAGCTATAAACATGTTGGCTGCAATAGGTGGCCAATTTAGAAAGACATTGCATCAGAGATTGCCACACAATCTTCTTTATTTTCATAACCAAAGTAATTAAGGCTCTGGGAGAGAAGAAATCTTTTCAGCAAATTAATAAAGAAACCCTAAGAAAACCCCAAACTTAGCTTCAAAGAATCTGACTGATTGGTAGGATGTGTGGCTTAAAAAGTATACTTGTTCTGTATATAACTCCTACTGTTGCGCCTGTATATAACTCCTACTGTTAGGAGGACAAAACTTCTATATTATACAGCTTTGGATTGGCAGGATAGTTTAATTTGTAAGCAAATTCATTCACTATTGGCTTTTAACATGGAGTTTTGTTGTGCGGAATATTGACCCAATCTGATGATCAGCATTTTAAAAATTAATTTTAGCAGATTTGTTCATTTCACTAGACCAGCAATAGCTATATTCCATCTCAGATTCCATTTTGGATTTATACTAAAATGATTTTCCTGTGAAGTGGTCCTGAAACTGACAGATAGGACGTTTTGCATTGTTGCTATCATTGGGCATTTGAATAAATACTGAGAGTGCACCTTTTTTTTCTGCTGATGGACGGACATTTTCTGGTAGTTTAGGACTCACAGCAGCATGAACTTTTTTGTTTTATGTAAAGACTGTAGTGGACTCCACTTGACCTGGAAGCTGATATTTACTAGTAATGGGGAAGCAAGCTTGCATAAAATAATTGGAACCAAGAGCCAAGTGTATGCATGTTTTTTAAAAAGCTAATTTTTCCTTTTGTTACACTGCTATGCACATCTCCATATTCAGACTCAGAGTAGAACTGGATTCCAAAGTGCTGGCATGCTAGAAGGAGTTGTACAAGAGATGTTTGTAGCTCAACCTAAAGTTGGTGCCTGCTCTCTTGAGACTGCCAACTTACGGGGATTGAAGTTCTGCCCACTTACTTGTTGAGCTCCCTGCACAGGCCTCCAACTTGTATGTTGTATCATCATTTTTCTTTCTTTCTTTTTTTTTTTTTATCCTGAAACTCATTGATTGGTTCTTGTATAGTCTGCTGGCATTGTCCCCAGAAGAGACTCTCTAATTGTTTTTATTCCCATTACTAAAAGAAAGCTTCTCCTTAGAGTTGGTCAAGAAAACAAACAAAACCCTTTTTTGACTGGAAGGAAGAAGGGGGCCATATTTCTCACAAAAAAATCCTTTGTTTTTCGTTTTGTCTTTTATTCCCCAACCACATTTGTTCCTGAACTCCCATCTTGTTAGTTTGGACCCTGAGTAAAGAAGCTAAAACTAGATTTTTGTCCCATTAGCCTCTTTTAAAGTGGCTAGCATTCTGTATAATAGTTTTGGTGCCTATTCTGTAACCATTCTTAATACTGGATATTACTTCACTGTGCAAGTAATTCCAGGTGGTTGCAACATTGCCCAACATAAAGAAGAGTAGTAGATACTGTCCCCAATATATATTTTTTTCACATTTGTACCTGAAGTGGTAGCTGAAATTCTCTAATATTTTGTTTCCTTTTTTTTGTTGCCTTTTCTTTGCCAAGTTTGGATCGCCATATGCAGACTCACCATGGACACCATAAACCATTCCGTTGCAAACTCTGCCCATTCAAGTCCTCTTATAATAGCCGCCTGAAAACTCATATACTCAAAGCTCATGCTGGTAAGTTTCTCTGTTTTACAGTGCAGCAAGCATAACAACCCTTTGACTTTTTTCTTGCTGGTCAGTGCTACTGATTTGAGTTAAACATTTTATCAACTTTGGGTAGGATTTTCAAAGGTGGTTCAGCATTGCTGCAGCTCTGCTCTCATTGTGATCAATGAAAATCTTACCACTGATTTCAAGAGGAGCAGAATTCAGGTCATTACCAAACAGTTTGGGAAATTCCATATGCTTCTGAAAAAGGATTCAGTCATTCAGCTTCTAGAGACACTAGCAAGACAGCTTGGTATTGAGAAGTTTGTTTTCACTTAGTTTACTCTGTAAATGACTTGAGAAAATGATTGAGGATCACATTTTGGTTTCAAGCTGTACTGTCTTAATGTTGGCTTTAAGATTAAAATTTAGCACTAAAATTTTGGAGCCAGATCTGCAGCTGGCTTAAACTCAGATAACTCCATTGACTGAAGTGGAATAATGTTTTATAGACTGCCATGCAGTACAGAATTGTGGACAAGTAGGTATTTATGGTGGGTGGGAATTGAAAAAGGGACAATGAGAAAAATGATCAAGGCGAAGTATTGCATGCAGCTTTTATAAAGGACTAAGATGGAAGATTTCCTGATCTGGATGTGATCATGACTTTCTAATTTCAGTTGTATTGCATGGTTCCAGGTTTTAAAAGTTATCCTTCACTTGGGATCAGTAGCCACTGGTGATTGTTGCATCTTTTTTTTTTCTTTTTAAATGTTCAAATGCATATTAACCAAAACTAACCATCTTAAGCTAATCCAATTTATGTTAAAACCCACAAATAAAGACTTGTAGAATAGAGGGGGATAGGGTGACATATGTATGGTAAAAACTAACCTCTCTGGACTCAGTGGCTCTTTGATCACATGATCATTTCTCATTCTTAGAACAGATGCTTCTACAATGGCCTGTTTTTTGCTGGGGCTCAGAGGTGGGGGGAAGGAGGGGAGGTATCAGTTGTAGGCCACCAATAAGAAATTAAATCTTTCCTATTTAATTCCAATAGATCAAAACTAACCTTGGACCAAGGGCAACCAGACATTTCCTTCGTATTCTGTTTCCTATATTGATTGCAGATTTCACACTTGGATGCCTTATCTTCAACAACAGCATTCATGCCAGACTGTGTTCTAACACTTCTCAATACTTGGATGGGCACTTTGGATTAGCTTAACATTTCTGACCTCATGTTGTGTGTAGCTGGGCTATGACATGGTGTACTTTCTACAGAAACCTATTGCATGCATCTGTTTCGCTTCTATACGTGAACATTTTAGATTTTTAGAAGTGCCAGAGATCTTTTTTGTTGGCCTTCCATTAAGAATTGTTTCTCAGGCTGCTATGTATTTGGGTCATTTTTTGTATGTCTTATCTGAGCTTATCAGATTTTTATGTCAAAATTTGTATGCAAGCCATATTTATACTGCAAATTTCTTTTTTCCATAGAGCTTTTATTTTTTGGGTCTGCCCCTCCCCCTGGTATATAGGTGTTCTTGAACAGGTCTGCTATCACAGTATCTTTACATGGCTTGTATCTCACATTATCCAAGTATTTCTGCAATTGCATAGTTGTGTTTTGGAGTCTAGGTGATGCTATGCACAATGGCTTCTGTATTAGGGTTTTTAAAAGTTTATGGTCTGTTTTTGCCTCAACTCATTTCTTCCCAACAAACATTTATGAAACAGAAATAATTGCTTGAGCATTTTTGTCTGGTGTTTGCTCTGTTGTATTTTAGTCGGTCCTCTGAAAATATGTACTACCTTGCAGAAAGACTGTGCCTAAACCATGTTACTTGGAGCCTACTGAGATCTCGGTAATTCTAAAAGCTTTTCACCTACTAATCTTGTCAGTACTATTTTTATGCAAATTTAGGGATGAAACTGCATAGCATGTTCATGCATTTCCTGTGAAATCTTATTCCAGTGTTGTCTTCCAGTGCAGTTGCCTCCCTCATCTTTTTGGATCTGTTCAAATTCCTTTTTCTGGTGGAGTATGTTCTCTCCATAAGTTAGCTCTGTTTACTTCATCTGGTATCCATACTCCCATTCAATACATTTCTTCTTTGGACTGTGGCAGAACGTTAGTGCCTCCCAGTGTGTTGTCAGTTGTTTTTACCCTGAATCAGTACATCTGTAGATTTTGGGACAAGATTTTTTGGTACATCTCCGATGCTCAGGCAGACCCCAGGGGAAATCAGTTAAATATTTATAATATACAAAATAGGGAGTTGAAAAAGTTAAAAGCTCTTCTACTTAGTAAGATTTATTAAAACTATTTCCTTGCATCCAAAATTGAAAGTTTGCTTGCTTATGCTCATTTCAGTTGCTGTGATAGGGTTTGAAAGCCATATTTAAATCTTGATCTGTAACAGTACTTTACTTGTGTGAGTTTAGTATGGTTGCTTTAATGTTAACAGTCAATTGCTGCCTGTCTTCATTCACAAACATCAGATTTTACCATATTGTGACGTTTTATCTCTTCATCTTACCAGTGTCTACATCAGCGGCATGTATTTTATCTAATGCATCCTGTTCTATTAAGCAACTCATCATATCCTGTAAGAAAATCATTTATATCCTCTCTGTAAACAAGTGATGTACCTGTTTGATAATATGCATTTGCAGAATGCCATTTGACACAAGAGCACATGGGACTTCTTGTTCCACAACTTCAGACTGTGCTGTGTGGTCTGTTCTTTTTCCAGATACATTGATATGGGTTTGCCAGGTGGTCACATTTTGTGTCTGTTACATTAAACAAGTTTAGGTTTTGATTTTAGGAGAGGATGGCTGCAAATCTTTTTGTATGTGCTTGCTGTGATTACATTGCTTTCAGCTGTAGTACAGACCTTGAAATTCTCTCTTTGTTCATTTCCAGTGTCACAAACCAATGTGTTCCAGAACCCTGTTGTCTGTATTTGAGAAACCAGCAAATTTTTCCGCCTGTATCTTCATTATTAGAGGAATTGTCTTCCAATTAACATTCATAAATATTTTACTCTTGCATTGTTTTTTGGCAGATTGTGTGTAACCCATGCTTACTCAGTTGGGTGCTTTGTTCTCTTACACGTGAAAGCATAGTTTGAAAAAATTGATTGCTTTTATTGCATGCATAACATCACACCATTTTGTGTTCCAATTGCCTTCATGCTTACTGCAAACAAATCTGGTCTCTGCCATTTGTTTACCCTTGATTCTCTCTTTGCGGCTTGGAACATACTTAGAATTACATTTGCTTCTATTCGTTCACTTCCATAGAATTTTACTTTAGCTTTACATCTACCCACAGTCCCTAACATGGTCATGTCCGTTTCTTGTTAAACTTGCCTTGGCCTCAGTAATCGTAATAATGATCTCAGCTGCCAGGCAACACCGTTGCTCACATAAGGAAAATATATACCTTTCACACATTGGATATATCGCAGCATTCTTGAAAATTCTGAAGGACCTTGGCTAGGATTTTGTCATTTCTTTCATGCTGCTTCTGGAATATGTTTGGGCTTGCCACATGTAGAAGTACAGAGGAACTGAGCTCTTCCCTGTTACCGTTCTTCCAAGAAAACAGGGAAGTGTGCCATCAACATCCTTCAGTTTTCTTCTGGATTCAAATGATTCCATTTTTGCCAAAGATTCAATTTGCTTCCAATACCATGAAATAAAATTGTGATGCGCAGGAGTGTTGCTTAGAGTCTAGCCTCTCTTTTTTGGCCTCAATCACATGACAAGCAGCCAGGGTTACTAAAAGATGATGCTGTTGTCAGATGTAGGTGTTAAGATCCACAGACTCCAATATTCCAGCAGGAAAGCTAAATAGCTTGTTCTCTTTGGAAACAGTCTTTTACTAATGGAGAAAATGGGAGTTTTACCACCGAATTCTGTAGGAGAAGGATAGGGGGCCCCTTTGTTTTTTCTGTGAGCTGATGACATGCCTGTATTTCGCTCACCCAGGTGAACATGCCTACAAATGTTCCTCCTGCTCATTTTCCACCATGACAATCAGCCAGCTGAAAGAGCACTCCTTGAAAGTGCATGGGAAAGCACTGACACTACCAAGACCCCGCCTTGTCAACCTTGCAGCCTCACACGCCCAACACACCTCCAAGAACCACACTCCTGCTGAAGAAGTGGAGGACTCTAATGGTAAGTGGTGCTTTAGAGCAAGAACAACACTGTCTAAGGTGCCACTTATTTTGATTTTTTTTAAGGCAGCAGTTTGCCCTAAAAGAAGTTTCTTAAGTCATTTTGTTAAATGCATCTTAAGTTGTGTCAAAAATCAGAATAAATTCAATGCTTTAGGATAGTCTGTAAAGCATGATCACTCACTCATTCTCCACCAATTTGCCCAGAGGACAATTGGCCTTCAGTATGTGTTAACCTTTGTTTCTCGAAGACCCACTCATTAGATTCTGAAAGACATGATCAGGTGTCTGAATCTCCCTGAAAGTCAATGGGAATGAGGCATCTAGCTCACAGAGTGCTTTGGTGAGGTCATATTAGGGAGTTCAGTTTAACCTTTTAATGGTAGTTAAAATAATTATTTCCTTTCCCCTGCTACAAAGGATTAAAAAAATATACAGCTAAAAATATGGGCTATTCCTGGGTAGTGGGTACAGGAAGCAAATGACATCTAAGTAGCATTTTTTTTCTTTCCCTGCGGGCTGTTGTATGTGTGCAAGAGCAGTAGGTAGCTTGTGTCCCTGGTATCTTTGCAATGGGTGGTCAATCAAATAAGGTGCAGAACCAGAGGAGAGATGTGGCTTAGTGCCCTGACATGCTTGCCAGAAGCAAGTGGTAGTAACTCTAGTTTTCTCTTCATGTCTTGGACCTGCAAACCAAAAAAGGGGATTTGATAGTCAAGAAGTCAGCACGGTTGCTGGGTAAACCATATGAAGGGAAGAGGAAAGGTTGGGGAGTTGAAGCTCTGGTGGTTTCTGTCAGTGTTCAAAGGTCTTACTGGTTTCTCTCAGACTGAATATTCCAAGGAGACTTTTAGAAAGAAAAATTTTAAAGTTGTCCAATAATTCCATAGAAAAATTGTTAAATGTTTTGTTGTTGCTGAAATGAAAAATTGAACTTCTGATCACTTCAAGCATTTTGGTCACTTTGCCCAATGGGGAGGGGAAAAAGGGAGGAAAGAGGAAAGTGAGAAAAGGAGGAATGGAGGGACATGCCCAATAAGGCAGAAGCCAAAATAATCTCGACTAGAATAGAAGCTATATAATATAGCTTCTATACTATATAAAATATACTATATTCTGTATAATATAGCTTCTATTCTAGTCAAAGTTATTTTGGTTTCTTTAAATGAAAACAAAGTATTATGAGCAATGCAAAAAAAACCACATTTGTGCAGTTCAAAAAGCAATTTTTTTGGTCATAATCTTTCCAATGAAAAGGTTTTGAACAGCTTTAAATTTTCCCTTCCCTCACAGGACTATCTGGAACTGTGGAGTTGAATTTGTTTTCATGGAAGAGTTTTTGTTATCATGAGACTTTTGATTCTTTGTGCTAAAACTGGCTTAAAATAGTTGAATTAGCAACATTCATCTTTGGATGTGTTATATTGATTTTGAAAAATTTATTCCCTCATTCTCCTGTTTTCAAAAGGGAGAAATTTTCATTGGGTCTCCCAGTCTTTAATATTAATTAGTACCGTTCTGTTATTTTCAATGTCAGTACAACGTTAGTACCATTCTACTAATACCAACAGTATCAAGATGTGTACAGAGAATATTTTGGGCTTTGGCAGGATGATGCTCGCTTCCTGTTGCTCATCCTAGGAGACTGAAATCATGATTATTACAGCCCAATACAAAATGAAATGCTGTCCTGTAGCCTAAGTATTCAGTATTGTGGGCTTTTTTAAAGGACCACATATTAATATATGTTAAACTTGTTTAACAAGTTTTTACATGCACTAAACTACAGGCCTTATCAGGATGTCGCAGCTAACCAGGTCAGAGTTGCATTCAGAGGTTAAAGCAGGACTTGTTCAAAATAGTGTGATCATCTTTAAATGGGGTTAATGGTTAAATTACATTGAAAATAATAGAAGCTCTCCACTGAGGAGGTAGTCAGAAAGAGTACAAGGGTAGTGATGATTATATTCACATTTTCTGGATCTCTTGTGAAAGGAATACCTGGGGGGGTTGTTTTGTTTGTTTGTTGTTTTAAGTCATTTTCTTGACATAATGGATTTGGTTACAGACCGAATTAATGAGCACTTTGCTTTTATCATAGTTCAGTTTGGGTTTTAGAAGGGAGCAAATAGAGTTCCATGTGACTCAGGCTTGTAAACTGCAGGTGTTACACAGGAATAGATAAAAGACTGGTTACAATAATAGAAAATAGGGAGTACATGTGAAGCGCTGTTATGCCCAGCTGGCGGGAAATATTAAGTGGGGTTTTCACAACACAGAGTAGTTGGACCTCTGCTGTTTTAATGTATATAAATAACTTACACCCAGGGTTGTAATCTAGTTAATTTACTGATGACACAAAATTGAATCAGGATGGGGGAGAAGTGGCAAGCGTGGAGGCTATGGCAAATGAACTTGGACTTGTTTCATGGATTGGTTGCTACATGGCAACATAGTATAATTAAGTGTTTGTAAATGAGAGCTATTCATTTCTCTGCACATGCACAGTAGTTGGAACAGAACTTAAGCAGGATGGCTTGAAAGAGATATGGGAGTGAGTAGAATTCATCCTGGAAATATGGAACAAGTACAGGCATACCTCGGAGATATTGTGGGTTTGGTTCCAGACCACCGCAATAAAGTGAATATGGCAATAAAGCAAGTCACACAAATTTTTTGGTTTCCCAGTGCATATAAAAGTTATGTTTACACTATACTGTAGTCTATTAAGTGTGCAATAGCATTATGTCTAAAAAAAACAATGTACATACCTTAATTAAAAAATACTTTATTGCTAAAAAATGCTAACCATCTTTTGAGCCTTCAGCGAGTCGTAATCTTTTTGCTGGTGGAGGGTCTTGCCTCGATATTGATGGCTGCTGACTGATCAGGGTGGTGGTTGCTGAAGGCTGGGGTGGCTGTGGCAATTTCTTAAAATAAGACAACAATGAAGGTTGCCACAAACCTTCAATTTGTAAAAAACGCAATAGCTGTGAAGCGCAATAAAGCGAAGCGCAGTAAAATGAAGTATGCCTGTAAATATAAAGAGGGGAGAGGAAAAGGAAATGCAGCTAAAATAGTGAAATGTACATTTGATGAAAGCTTGTTTGAACAGACCAGTTCAGTGTGGAGAGACCAAAAGAAATTTTGTCTCCAGTTACTTCAGAATTTGTTTCCAAAAGTACCACTGCTAAAGATGCAACAAAATGCACTGAAGCTGATCAGTTTATTATAACATAAGAAGAAGATACTCAAATTTGTATGGCTTATTTGTTTTAGCTCTCAGTTGGGAGCAATTAGTATAACTTTTAATGTACTCAGAAGATGGGAAGTATTGATGGGACTAGGGTTAAGATGGATCTCTGACCATGTTAGGTAGGCATATCCTTGGTAATTCTGTAATTCTCAAAACCTGCTTATAAGTAGGGATCTACCGAGCTTGGGAAGGCAGGTGGCCAATTTTGTGAGCAGATCTTGGGGCCAGCCGCCATTTTCATGGGCTGAGTGTGATGGGATCCCCCACATCTGGCTGAGGGGCACCAGGAGTCCCGCCTTTCCCCATAGATTGCCATATGGCCTGAAACCACAGCTTAATTACTTCAATTCAACTTGGGGAAGCCATTAATCCATGTATTATTAAGCATGAATTAATGGCTTCCCCAGGCTTAATTGGTGTAATTAAGCCATGGTTTGGGACCATACCCAAATGGTGAGCTCTGTGATTTTGGTGGGCTTGCTGTAAGAAAACAAAAAAACTGATAAGCAGAGAAAAGGGCAGGAAGCCGTACAGTTTTGGGGCATCTATACATGGGGAGGGGGGTGGCACCTTAATTAATGTGGCTCTGGGAGCCTCCCTAATTAAAGCACCCACAGCATCACATGTACAGGTAGTCCTTGGCCTTGCAACACGATTGGATCCTAAAAACCTCATCTTAAGTCGAAATATTGTAACACGGAACCAATATTCCCATAGGAAACAATGTTATAAATGGGGGATTGGTTCCTGAACCAAGTTGCGCTACCCTATTTTCACCAAAAATAACCCAGAATTTTGTACTCAGAGCTACATTAATGTATTTATATTATAAATAGCAATCAGAATGATTTGGGAGGACTTCTTTGAGGTGACTTTGCTGGACTTTATGAAAGACTCTTGGTTGGACTTTTTGAAGGCTGGAAGTCTTCTCAGGAGTCCTAGCTGCAGGTTTTTCTGGAGTCCTGTATGCTTTCTCAAAGAAAGTATTCAAGGAAGTTTGGACAGATGTTTTCCAGGGAAATGGGCAATGTAGCAAACTGGTTTGCTGGCATGGCATTGGATCAAGCATTGTAAAGTTGAAACTGACATTAGAAAGTTGAAACAGGGTGTCAGTTTATAAATGTTGTAAATGCAAAGAGTAACTTTAAAATGTTTTCAGTCAAGGACTGCCAGTATCTTGTGCTTCAAAATGTTAGGGGGGATGCTTGAACTAAAGCTCATTTCACAGGTCCTGCTGCCATTTTAAAGCACAGGGATGCTGAATAAAGATGATGAGGAGGCTCCTGGAATGTGTTAATCAGCACACTCCAGGAGACTCGATTAACTGAGTCTGCTCTGATGCATGCTAATTAGTACATGTCCGGCATGTGCATAGGTACCCTTGGAACATGGGTGGGGAAGGGGCGGGAACAGAGAGGGGACAGGGTGGAGTGGGAGGCAGGGCAGGGCTGCTCACAGCAGGATGTGCAGAGGCTGCAGGCAGCTCCTGCTGTGAGCAGCCCTTTCCCACCTCCTTCTGCCCCTCCTCCCCACCTCATCCCTCTTCCCTCAGCCCTCTCCCCCTCCATCCTTTTCCTTCTGCCTTCTCCTTTAGGCTCCAAGACTTCAGGGCTTCCCACCCTTTTCTCTGCTTGCCAGGAAGTTTTTTTTTTTCTCTTAGTTTTTTGCAGCGAGCCCAGCCAAATTCATGGTTTCTGTGAAAATCGCTCAATTGCAGATTTGGTAGGTTCATAATTATAAGCCTT